TTGTAGCTTTAGATTATATGTTTTTGTAAACCAAATTGTGTAATAAATTTTGGACATGTAATGTCATATAAACGATTGTAAAATGAACTCATATGTACTACATTTCGTGTAAATTTTGATTTTATGTGATTTGGGTGAATGTCATATGAGATTGGAGAGCTCTTCTACCGATAGAACGTTGATTATCAACCAATAGAAGAATTCCAGAGAGCTCTTCTACTAGTAGAACGTTGATTAACTACCAGTAGAAAAATTCCAGAGGGCTTTTCTACTGGTAAGACGTTGATTATCTACTAGTAGAATAATGCTAGAGAGCTTTTCTATTGGTAGGATGTTGATTATCTACTGGTAGGTCCTCTGAAAGTTTTAGAAATTTAAAGTAATTTTGTCAAGCCTTCAGGCCTTGAGTCATTTTGTTCAAAGGATGTAATGGAGTAATATTAAGGACAAATTGATGTATATTGGACTTTGAAATGTACACAGGTTATGCGTTTGTGAGTGCTTAGTATAAGGGAGATTCGGCCAAAACTTTGTATTGTTTATGATCCCGGTGAACGGGATGTTATGCCGTAGTGTCGGGTTATGCGGCATTCACGAGTTGATGGATGATCAACAGGTTGACAAAGGACCCCCAGTTTTAGAAGCGTCACACTGTAAGTCATTTTTACATGACTAGATTATTTTGTATAACCAAACATTGTACTCTCTGACTTTTGACTATGTTATAAAATGAAAGAATTAATGCTCAGCTACTTTGGCAAGTTACTTACATTCATAAGTGATTGGGCCTTCCAGGACATTGCTGGGAAAATGGTTAATTCTGAACCACATGACATGAGGGCAAAAGGAAGACCATTCAGAACATACCTCGATTTATTCACTGTCGACAACTTTGGGCACTAGCTTAGTGACAAAGTGTGAATATATAAGTGAAAGCTTCGAGGGGTTAAGCATTCTCTTTTATTATGAGGGATTAGAGATGCTTGAACCTGTGTATCTGAATGGGTCTAGAGTACTTGGGACACAATTTTTATTTTTATTTTTAGGGTTGATGTCTCTATGTTGGCTTTATAGAATGTCTAGTGTACAGCTCTCAAATTGCAGGTATGCTCAATTGTCGCATGACCCATAAGCCTGTATGATTTGATGTTGATGTATAAAATGGATTGAGAGAGATGTCAATGTTGTGCCCACCATGAACGAGTGGGAGATGTTAGATGTTGGGTTAGGGTCATAGAACTAAACCAGAGTGCCCATGATGGGTCGACCTTATTAAAAAATGCCTGAGAGCCATAACCTTTGAAGGTGTCCTTTGCCACCCAAAATACATGTCTGTTAAATATTAATAGACATATCTTATAGAGATATGTCTCTTCATAACACCCATTGGTTGCCCATATAAACTCAAGACAATCTAATAGAACTCAACCTATGATAATTAATCTAACTTACAAACTCTCATATTCTCTTTATCTTTCCATATATAATGTTGAAAGACTTTTGTACTGCAAAAAATCGGTGTTGTTTTGTCTTCTGTAACAACACCATACTATTCGAGCAAGCAAACAAAAGAAAATTTCGGATTCTAAAGTACGTGAAACCTCCTTCAAAGGTTTTGGGATTAAAACGGATTATGGTATGTCTTTAATCCTATGCTTTAACATATGTATACGATTCTCAACAATTCTAATAAAATAGAGAACCTTCATATAATATTAAAAAGGTGTGCGCTATCAGTCATTGTGGATTTAGCAGTTTTAGGATTCTCTTTCTTAAACATAGAATTTGTTTCCCTTCGATTAGGTCATACTTGTCATATACCCACTAAGGTAAAAATTGGGGGGGGGTTCTAGTCAAGCAATACCCGAATTAGTGAAGTAAATATCATTTGTACCCTTGAATTGGATTAGTCAATGGACAATATAGTCATTTATAAGTCAAATATATGATAATAATTGAAGGGAGTGGCTCCCATTATTGCATATGTTACGACATTAAATGAGCCCACGTGAGGATGATAGGATAAGGCACATGAGGATGATATCAGTCAAATAGGCCTAGCCGAACTAATCAATTTGTTC